TTGCGGTACACTTCCTTTCACCTGATGCGTATCTTGGGAGGTTCTAGGAATGTAGCTCGATGTGAAATTAAGTTCGCTTGTTTGAAGAGAAAATAAAGCAGTTTTGTTCTCTATATATCCGCTTTAAATCAGATCGTTCGACAATCTGATAGCCAGCACCTGCTACCATTGATGTCATTCAAAATACTCTACTCGCTCATACAGATATCATTTGAGAACATCTGCCAGCTGATCCTCGCACCATTCCTTTTTTGCATTCTCTCTTCTGAGTGTTTGCCTAAGCTATAATAAGGCATGTATTTTATTCTTTCTTTTCTCTATATTCGTCTTTACCTGAAAAGAGTGAACAGGTATAAATATTTTTGTGAATACAATTTTCTAATTATATTTAACAATTTTACATAGAGTTTAATTTAGTAAGAAGCAACCATTTTAATGCAAACTTAAAATTAAAAAAGAATATTTCATTATCATATGTATATATAATATGTATATAATATAAAATGATTATTATTATTAAAATTGTGAAACAAATAACAAACTAACAATGATGTACGAAAAGCTGATTGTGCGATCTCGAGTGTTTGGTGCGTTGCAAAGCGCATCATTTTCATTGCATGGCATCAATCGAAATCACGCGATAACGCACACTACTCGTCACATCAGACGAAGAGAGAAGAGAGGAAGGAAGAAGACAGGGAGGGTGGACTCGAGGTGTGAGCTTCGTCATTGTCATGAGACTGACACTTCGGGGTATCGGACCTCGGTCTGGCCATTAATAATCGTAGCCCGAACGAAGAAACAAAGAGGAGGAATACGGAGAGGAGTGCAGTAGAGTTGCGAACGAGAGGGTACACACAGTTCGCGCGCACCACGTCCGTTCACCATCACTATTGCGCAGCAGACTCGGCGTATACGTGGTAGGTATGTTCGAATGTGTCCGATGCGTCCGATAGGGCGGGACATGGGCATAAACAATTGCGCGTCAGCCTCGCCTCTTCCCGATGCAATGTAATAAAACGAGAGGTCTCTTGTGGGCCCTCCTCCGCCGCCCCGATTCAGAGAAGAGTTCTCCTCATCGGGGCCCCAGGGCCAAGAATATCGAAATGAACCGGCGTCCGTGCGATATTTCAGCGAGCCACGAGGGTCGTATGTACGTAGCCGGGTACGTAACGTAAGTCCCGACCTCCTACGACCGTGCTCTGAGATCTCCGGCATTCGATTGAAAGCCGAGAGCTGGCAAATTTTTAATATCGTACGTGATCATTGATGAGATTACGCTGGAACACACGCACATCTCCAAAAAGGAAAACCCCCTCGCGCCCATTCAAATGGTCCATAATTACTGTGGCGAAAATGAATCTCGAAATCTTATAAATAACATTACGATTAATCAATGCACAAAAAAATCAATAAATATGTTTCTTGGGCTGCCGATTTTATGTTCGTGATCTTTGTTTCCGAGAGTACCAATGGCATGATCTCTCGCGCAATATGTATCCTTCTTTAATGTTGGGTTATTCAGTTTCTTTATCTTGAGCTCGGGTCTCTGTCTACAGTAAAGATAGCATTTTAATTGGAATAAAAGTTTTAACTTTCATGGAGCGTACATAAAAAGTGCTATATTTCGTAAGCCCTTCTTGCTTCACTTTTAGGAATTCTACACTTTTCAACAGTTGAATTACATTGTTTTTGTACTGTTGATTAAATGGAGTGACAGTCTGCAGCTTCTGACTTATTTTTCTCACATTCAGAAAAATTAAAAAATTGAAGCAATGTCATCAAAATGATCAATATAGCATAGAAATATACAAACATATCAATCGAGAATGATTTCATAATATATTTTAATATAATATATTTTAATATAATAGAATTAAAATTATGAAATAAGCATAAAAGGCGTAAGAGTCGGAAATTTGTAAGAATGTGAAGAGATAAGGAATTATATTAAATAATGCATTTAGATAAGAACTGTATTTTGAAAATAATGAAATGTTCATTTTTTATACGATATCATTAATTGGTTTAATAAATATATACATACATATATGATGTGTATATATCGTATTAAAATGAGGTAGTATTTATTAATATATTGATCAATAATGTTATATAAAAATTATATATACTTGCCAGATTGTTTTGTAAACAACGAAATTATATAACATATAAAACTTAGTAATGTATTTGATTTGAAAAAATTTAATTAATTTCTAATCTTTTTTTTATACTGGTTTGTGCTGGGAGAAAAGATTTCCAATTTCAAGGATTAAATCAAACAATTCTAACGCATTAAAGAAGTGATCTCGTGATAGCATGTGTATGTATGTGCGTGAAATGCTTCCTTTCTTAAAAGTAGATTAATACTGGGCGATGAAGCGACGACCACGAGCAATGGAAAGGGTGTGGAAGAAGGGACGAGGTAAGGAAAGAGAGAGGAGAGGTGATGGTCGTTCTCCTGCGGCAGGGCGGACAATAGCAGCTCTGCGAAGTGTAGCGGACAAACAAATAGCCAATTAAAATTCCGGTTGCACGGCGAACATACTTGTATCAGCTGCAATACTACCATTGTGCATCGAAGGCATGCGCAAGCCGGTGTCTGGATCGGTTGACTGGGTCTGGATACCAGAAGATCGGTTGCTTACGATCAACCTTCGAGGATTATCTCCGCGGTAAACGGGGACTCGTTTGCACCATCCATTCGACTAAATCTTACCTTACGAGACATTGTTATCGTCGAATCATGCCTTTATCGCGATCGATTCGTGTCTTCGTACGGGGATCTCTTTCGCATCAATACATTTTAGAGTATTGCAGAATTACAATAACAATTTGAAATGCGAGAATTAGCAACATATGTTGGCATTGGTCGGCAAACTTATGATATCATAGATTCCTACGATATTATATCAATTCGTATCGCGTTTCTTCACCTCGAAGTTCGATAAAATTCATATAGTATGATTAATTAAGGTAGAGAATTAATTATCTGCAAGCAGAGCGCTTCGTTCCCACTCACAGCGCTTAACTATAAATGTCAGATTCGAAATTACTTCCTCACCTCCGATCCTACCATCTTCCCGATCCGGCGTGGATGTTATTAGGAAATCGTTTAATTGGTAGATACCGATTTTAACTGGCATTATGAATGGTTACAAGTGTCACGGGGTCATTAAAAAGATAGAAAACATATTATCCTATTACAAACCTACAACAACCTGCGAGCCGCTGCGAAAGAATTAGATGATGTAGCGAGTAATCGTGGAGAACTTACTTTATTGAATTGTGCGAATTATATAGCAATTACTTTTCCTAAATTTTGGAATTATAGAAAAAATCGCATACTCGCAATCGATATCCATCGATATATTCGTCGATTCTCCATCCGGCGCAGTGAGAATGAACGATTACTAAATTACAACATGCCCTTAGATACGATCGGCGGGCCATAATTGCAGGACTATTCATACATTATTGGCTCGTATATTATTTGACGCGATTCAATAACTTTGTAGCGGGACGGCCGATGGTATCTCTCCGTCGTTAAGGCGCATTCGCAATATCGATCGGCTCTGATGAATGGCCACGTTTAAGATCGTCATTTTTCCCAGCAATTATTAACGCTAAAATTGAATGTGTCCGTGAGCACGGGATCGGACCAGTCGTATGGACCACGCGTGAAAAACGAGACCTCTCTCGAGAGGCAGATCCATCTTCGAATGTGTGTTAAAACTTCGCGATGCCCAAACTACCGGGAACGCCTCGCCCGCTACTCCTAAATGCAGTAGGTATGATTTATCTACGGGCACCAAATGGAAAAGTTTTACTTTTTTTAACTGGTCCCTTTTCAGATGGTTAAGATTGTCGCTCGAGTATTATATCGGAGGCGCAAAGAGTTACTTTCAACGCGTACATTTGGAAGAATATATAGCATGCTTTTTCTTTTTTTTTTTTTGTTATGATTTGCCCGGAGTCTTTAGGCCTGTCTCGAAAATAATATAACAAGGTGACGTTAATAATCTCCTGTCCACTTATTTGAACATATATGATAAATTAGACGATTTTTTTCTCTTGAAACTTGGATGAGACTTCGCCACGTTTGAATTTTTCTTTACATAAATTTTCATCGGGCATAATTACTACGTTATCAAATGCTGATGTAAATTGAAGATGAAAAGATAAATAAAATTCTTCGATTATTTTCACGCTCAATATTAAGAGGGCGTATAATGTATTAGACATATAAAATATATTACGCAGAACTTTTGCATCATTATTAGCTGTTAAAGTTTCGTCGTAGTCGACAGTATTTTATTTTAAGGAAAAATCTGTTTTCAGGATTTAAATAGAAATCCTTCGTGTGAAAACGATCGAGAAAGCCTCGTGTGATTTATCATGTAGGTATGCCATAGGGGTTAATTATTTCATTCGGAACAATTATTAAAATCATATTCGTTCGCTATGATCAACTAATAGGTCTCGGCATAGCAGAGTATTTTACGCGTGTATACGCATATTATATGCAACCATGCACGTGCATGAGATGTTTGAGAGTATATGTGCGCGGGAGCGTATCGATGGAACACCGACGCGACGGGTGGTACGAAGAGTTACTTGCATTTCTACGACTACCTGCAGTTAATTTACAGCAAAGTGCGCGGATAAGTTCCACCGTTATTCTTCCAATCGGAATCTTCTCGCGAGCGGTTACCTCTTCTTCGCGGACGTTTTCTCTTCCTCATAACGGCGATATACCCGATTCACCTCAAAAACCGATGACTCGTTTCTGCGTAGGTCGATCCGGATCTGCATAAGCGTGAGCACCGACTCGATCGCTATTCATTTATAAGCTCCAGTGAGAAGTTGCGACCACCGCGTCGATCGAAGTTAATAACACAAGGAAAAGGAAGTCACGCGATTGAGGTAATAAGGATGATGAAACAACACGGTTGATACATCTAAAACGTTAATACGTCTCGAACGAACAGGGTGATTACGTACATAGTTACTAAAGTACACACACGACGGAATCGTGTTCTCATTAAATGTACTGCTCATGCAGCTGCTCGGTAATCTAACAGCAACGATTGGAGCATGGCTGACGAAGGATCTGACACATCTAAAAAGAATGATATCCTAAGGGACAGCAATGCCGACAGCAAAGTGCCAGATGAAACCGAATGCGATGATGTAAGACGGGGATAATACTCTTTTGTGTCTCGTCAACTAAATAAATTCAAATCTAGAAAGAGAAATGATGCTTGCTTATGACAGTAGAGATATTTCTACCGATATAAAATATAGATTATCAAGTAGGCATAGTTATGACATAGAACAACGTATGTTTAATAGGCTGATAAAACTCCGCTCACGATAACCACTACGAAAAATGCTTTAATAACGACACAGTTGGATCCGTGCGATGCCTATCCGCATTCTATCAAAATTTCGATCGTGGGTGCAAGAAAAGTTGGAATGGCTTGTGCTATCGCAATTTTGATGAGAGTCTGTATATAACATATATAGATCTATTATATGCAGAGTATTTTAGAATTTTTCGTACAAAATCTAACAGTATTCTGAAATAAATATAAGCTGAAATAAAAAAAAATGCTATATAAACATAAATTCTAAAATGTTTTATTAAAAAGTTATAACAAAAATATGAAATGAAAAATATAAAAAATAATTTTACTTTTTAGAAAAACAAATTTATATTTTAAAATAATATCCGTCCATGTAAATACAAGTTTGAATCAATATAATTTTGAATTTATCACCTTTTTTGCGAGAGTAGAAGAAATCTTCATGTATATATGAAAATTTTTTAAAGTATTTTAGGACCTCTGTTTACATATTTGTTTTTATTTCAAGTCATAAAACGTAAATTTGTTAAAGTTTGTACGGAAATCCTGGGATAAATCATAAGCTTTGATTAATTGTTTTTACATAATCTTTTCAGCGGATAGCGAGTGAAGTCTGTTTGATCGATCAAAATTCAGACAAAGCTTCTGCTGAAGCCGAGGACATTCAGCACGCTAGTATTTTTCTAGGATGCCCTCTGGTAGTTGGCACATCAGGTATTTTTCGTACTAAAGATACATATTCACATATTATATAACAGCAATAAATAAAAAATTATATCAGTTATACAATACCTACATCTATCCAACTCTTCTTTCTTTCCATTGCTTCTGACTATATATCATCCTTACACAAAACGTCTCATCACATTATCTGTGTCAGATAAAGCTAGTGTTAGAGTTGTTGTCATAGTTAACACTTTAGATCTCGTCATCGTGCTCTAATCACAGAATCAACGAATTGTGAATGTCCATGGACGATGTAGGTCTTTCGCGCGTTAGGTGCGAGGCAGCAGATTCCAGAAATTTTAGATTGATACGTCCAGACTGATGAATCCGCCGAGCGTCCTGCAGTGTCACGATTGGTTCCGATCAACACCCATTTCAAATCAACGATCCGTTAGGCTGTCCGCGTCAAGGGATCTCTGTCAACGTGCAGCGATTCAGAAATAACGTTCTCGCATAGGTGGGTTTTGAGTTAGCAGCAAGTTTTGGAGGCCAGAATTCCCTCGGACCTGTCCTTTAATCTCTACTCTCATCTACATCGCCGGTCGCTTATACGCTGGTGAACTGGACGAACGTTTCCCTCGAGCTTTTCACGGACACTCTCGTAAATCTCGTCCACTCTTATTTATCTCGACCGTGATCGGCTCCACGACACGGCTTTCTGTTTCTGCTTCCAGCGTGCGTACGATGCGCGGTTACCCCGTCCGATGAGCGGCTGGTTATAAAAGCATTGTATTCTTTGTGGGAATCCAGGACAGTAACGGAAAGTGTGTAGTACGATCGGGTTTGATCTCGTGGGTCTCATCGAGTTGCACTACGTTTGATCTTAGAAATGATTTCGGTTTGTTCAACTTTTCTCGGCATTGCGTACACGTAGCATCCGTATTTATACCTTTATAAAGGATAGCGGAATGATTCTTCTGATCTTGTCTCGTGCGAGGTAGCAATTACTGGAACAAGTGGGACGACTTTTTTACGGGCTTGCCAACTTATCTGTAACAACATCTTTCTCCGTTGTAAATGTATCTTCCGTATAGTTGCGATATCGCTGCGTGTTACTACAAGCATTTTGTGAAGGTGTTGCCTCGGATCTGTACTTTTTATTTTTCCGACCATGCCGGATTGTCTTCCTCGCTGTCATTATCAGCGCATCTCTTCCAATGGTGATTCTTTCTCGAAAGGGGAGAAAATTTCTTATCCACTCTCATCGTTTTGTATTCCACGCACTTCCGAAGAGCTGATGATTGCGCGCTTGAATAAAGACGTCGTTCTCCGACGAGAGATTCTCCGGAAAGGCGTATCTGATTCTTAACGAAGCTATTTCCCGTTACGGCTTCTTTCGCGTGAATTGGTGTCTTCTCTAGAGATTCAAAACGATTTATACCTTAACTCTTTCAGGAAAATGTGGCTAAAATATTAAAATACACACATATCTAGAAATCACCATTCCACGATCAGATCTATGATCAATAATTGATTGTATTTTAGATATCTACAAGGTAAAAGATTCGGCGGTAGTAGTAATTGCGGTTTGTGAAAAGAAACTTGAAGAGGAGATCAATATCAAACACAACATCGAGATATTCAAGAAAATCATTCCTACAATTGCAAAGTTGGCTTGTAAGGCGGTGTTATTAGTTGCGTCTCAACCGATCGACGTGATGTCGTACGTCACCTGGAAGTTGTCCAAATTTCCTTCAAGCAGAGTACTTGGCACGGGAACTCTGCTTGATAGCTGCAGGTTTCAGGATTTACTGAGTCGAAAATTGGGACTGGCGCGAACGTCAATCAATTGCATGAGTATCGGTGCACAGGGCGACACATCTGGTATTTGATTGATCCTGATTAATTTTACATAGATTCGCGATGTAATTCTAGCAAGTACTGAATATAATATAGATATAGATATAAAATGTATTTATGTTATAGCAGTTACATTTGTTGTACATTTGTTAGTAGTAGTTAGTGATAAGATTTTACTAGATACTATTTTACATTAATAATTGTATCTATTGAAGTATTTCTAAACGTCATAAATACACAGACAATGACATTTTTACATAGATATTATCCATACTGAAAAGTATTATACATATTATAGTTATATTGTAAACAACCTAACAGTTAGCGATATCTTTTTTTCTTCAACATCGTTTCACAGTTTCCATATGGTCGAGCGTTCACGTGGCGGGCACGAAGATACGAGACATAAACCCTCAAATGGGAGAGGCGGATGATCCCGAGAAGTGGCGTGACATTTCCGAAGCTGTAAATAAAATGTCAGTGGTTAAGATCACTGAATATTCTTCAGAAAATTTAAGGAAGTAATAAAATCTACGCGTTGTGTTTACAGCGACACGGTGCTTAATCGGAAGAAGGGTGAAAGAGGACCGAACTGCTGGGCTCTCGGCTTCTGCACTGCTGAGATCGTCGATGCCATCGTCAGGAATACTAAAGTCGTATTGCCAGTGTCGACGTATATACAAGTGAGAGATATAATCAAGATTAACACATTTAGTAAAATTATTGAGTGAATTTAGATAGATTTTAATAGCTTATTGCTAATATTACTCTAAAATTAAACGCATTAATTTAATTCTAAGACACATTGGAGTTGTATAAAAATTCAATATTATAGTTTTTCTGGAACTAATTGGTTGAAGCATAGATTACAGGATAATTAATTAGGAATTGAATATGAAAGAAAAGAATTGCATATAATAGTTATAAGATAATGATAATTTTTTCATTCGCAAGTAAAGTATTTATTTTTGTACCTTAAAAAAAAGCGTTCTCAGGTATATTTATTCGCATATGTGTCGATTAACACGATGGGAAAAACAAAATCGAGGAATCTCTGTTCACAGAGTTGTGTTCATGGGACCGATAAAGACGTGTACATGTCGGTACCCTGTGTTCTCGGTCGGGAAGGTGTGTACACCACGGTGCGACAGAAGCTGAACGATCAGGAAAAGACGGCGATACAACGATGTGCCGACAGCGTCCGCGATGTGCTACGTGAGTGTGGCATTCTTTGCGAATCAAATGACATTAAAGAGTGACAACCGGTAGACCGGTAGACCGAGAAAAAGAGGAGAGCGAAAAACGAATGGATGCGAACGGATATGTGGCGCGGAAATAGCGAGGAAGAGGAAATGGAGTGAAGAGAAGGAACGACGTTTTAGAATACATCTTCATCAATAAGGGCAATGCTGCACCTGGTAACCGGTTTTCTGCATGCGTACATTCGATCGTCATAATAAACGATATATGAGTGAAACTCGACTTCCTGGAAAATTAAACCAGCCACGTTCTCCTAAGATTGCCTGCGAACGGTACACGCTACAATATTCCACGCGTGCGGAGCTTATTATCGTTTCTTTTTTACTCGATCGAATTTTGATTTACGCAACCGAACGATGTACAGCGGAAAGGTGAAAGGGCGGATGAAAATGCACTCTCCATTGCATGCGAGTATAAGGTTGAGAGGCGAATATAAGGTTGAGAGTTGCGGCTAAAGGAGATTGGATAATTTAAACTACAACTCTTTTTTTAGTTTTAAGTCTTGTTGTGTAATAAAGTCGTTGTATTTTTATACATATACAGTTTTATATATATATACATATATATATA